AAACTATCCTTAGTGAGGTTTGGTATTTAAACTACAGTGTTCCCTTAAATTCTTGCCATACCTTTTCTGCTTTATCTCCACATCCTGGCCTTCAAGGGCAATGATCTGACCAAAGACCTGCTGGTATCTTTGCAATAATGATTCAGGAGCAGTGATGCACAGAGATGAGAGTAAAGCAGACTTAAAGAGCACAAAATCATAAATTATAAAGAGCACAGGGTGTGTAGATGCACAGCCGGGTATAAACGTTTAGGATACTTGGGAACCTCCCATCCTTCGGTCTGTTGAGGGCTTTCATTCATTAGCGGCTGACCCAGTTTATCAACACAGAAGTCGGTGAAGTATAAGACGCTGCCGATTACCTGCAGAACACGAACAAGAAGTGCTGGTTCACTTTAAAGTGGTGTCAACAGTCTAGAAACTGAATACAAATAATAAGTCTCATTCATTCATGCAAACATGTACGCACTAATTTTGGTGTGAAATGTGCATTTTCACAATTAAGTCATGATTCAACAAAAACGTTTGTGCTAAAACTTACTCTAAATGTATGAAAAAAAAAAATCAAGAATGACTTATACAACATGTGCGCAATCATCATGTATGCCTGGGCCTTAAAAACATTTATAAAGAACTCTATTATTAGATGTTATTTTGAGGGTAGACGAAAAGTAGACCTTAACAAAGTATAATACAGTATAATTAGATGTTCAATTATTTGAAAAAAAATTATGTTAGCGCTGCACATTACTGGGAATATACAGCTGAAGTCAGAATGATTAACCCCCCTGAATTATTAGCGCCCCTATTTTTTATTTTTTTTCTCCAATTCCTGTGTAACGGAGGTAAGATTGTTTCAACACATTTCTAAACATAACATTTTTAATAACTCATTTCTAAAAACTGATTTATTTTATCTTTGCCATGATGACAATATTTTAGTAGATATTTTTCAAGACACTTCTATACAGCTTAAAGTGACATTTTAAGGCTTAAATAGGTTAATTAAGTTAACTAGGCAGGTTAGGGTAATTAGGCAAGTTATTGTAACGATGGTTTGTTCTGTAGACTATCGTAAAAACTAATTAGCTTAAAGGGGCTAATAATTTTGTCCCAAAAATGTTTTTTAAAAAATTGAAAACTGCTTTTATTCTAGCCGAAATAAAACAAATGAGACTTTCTCCAGAAGAAAAAATATTATCAGACATACTGTGAAAATTTCCTTGCTCTGTTAAACATCATTTGGGAAATATTTAAAAAATAAAAAACAATTCAAATGGGGGCTTATAATTTTGACTTCAACTGTATGCGATGCTGCAGTTCAGTACTGCAATGGCGAAATTCATTGCGATCTAACATTTCCCTAGAGTAAAGCTCTTTTTATTTGCTATTTTGTATTATTTATGCATATAATGATCACACTAAAACAAACAGGTAATAATGAATATTTTTCTGATTCAATAAATCTTTCTGATCTAAAAAAAAAAAAAAAGTCCAAGTGCAAACTTTCGAACACTTTGAACAAATGAAAACTTGTTTAGTGTATTAACTTATAGCCAATAGCAGAACAGCACCTACTGGGTAGGCAGGAATAAAGACAGTTTGACCATCGAAATAATCAAATTTACATAAAATGTCAGTGCCGATAGCCACGTAGGCAATGCGCCAATATTGCACTTCGGCCCACAATTTTCATTACAATGCATGTCATTTAATTTTCATTACAAAAAAATAAATAAATAAATAAATAATAAAAATCTCTCTCTCTCTCTCTCTCTCTCTCTCTATATATATATATATATATATATATATATAAATATATATATATATATATATATATATATATATATATATATATATATTTTTTTTTTTTTTTTTTTTTTTGCACCTCTCTTTAATATGAATATTGCATGAATATTATTATCGCAATAGCCATAATTTCAATACATTAGAAGCCCTAACAGATGGAAGACATTGCACTCTAATGTTGTGTTTCCACTAACACATATGTCATATACATGTTCACATGAATAAATTGAATATGCTGTGCTCGCAACATGACAATGAAAATGCAAAAGTAGAGAGCGCACCTTTATATTGCTGAAAGTCACCAATGGCTGATTTAGGCAACTTTTTTTTTAAATAGCACATTTCCCCAGCTTCTAACTCATTCATTATTGTTAAAGAGGCTTTTTTGTGTTTGGTTTTGGTGCCATAATTGTCTTTCTCTGGATAAGAGTAGCTTTACGTAAAGCCCTTGTATGTTTGGGTGTGTATTATGCAAATTATAAATCTTGTGCATGCAGGCGCTCATTTAGAAGACTCCTAATTCAATAACAGAAGAACTAATTTAAAAACACTTTCATGTATTGTGAATTAGGTGGAAAGTTTTCATGAGAAGCGTATAAAAATGAAAAACGTACGCAATTATTAGTGATTGGCACCCAATGTTTGTAATGCGGCTGGGTTTTTAAACTCACACTGAAAGCATTTTTAATAAGTTTGGAGTCACTGGAAGTCTTCACTTTATAGCTCTCCGCCATGACAAAACTTGAGGCCTACAAATAACAAAAAAGCAAACAAAGACACATTATTAATGCGTGCTGATTTTAAACCACTTCAACAAATCTCTTGAAATAAACGATGTACATGTGGGACGACATGAGGAGTAGAGGCTTCTCGATCATTGTTATGGAGCTGTTTCTGGACAAGAGAGAAGATGAAGTCTTCGATTTCATTCCGGCACTGCCTAAACACAAAAACAAAAATCCCATTTTAAATAAAAAATATATACGTACACACACAAAATAAATAATTAACAAATAATAAAATTATATACACACACACACACACACACACACACACACACACATACATATATACATACATATATATATATATATATATATATATATATATATATATATATATATATATACATACACAAACACACACACACACACATGTAAATACCAGCTTTTAATCTGGATGTGACTAATCTTTTGACAACACTGATTTTAAATAAATGCTTAAATATTAACATCGATGGTGATGCAGAGAACACCTACCTCGATATGATGTTATTTCCATAATTAATCTGACAAACTGGCCCGCTGGTTTTAGAATCTTCTATTGTAATCCCCCTGGCAAGGAAAATTACCATTGATAATCAATGTAACAACAACAAATTTAGTTTGAAACAAGGTGCAAAAAAACCTGTAAAAAAAATAATAGAGATGTACTCACATAGGACGACTTAATATGTTTAACTTTCTCTTCAGTTCTTCATGTGGATCATCGTTAAGGTATAAAATATGACATTCAATGTAAAGACAAAATGAATAATGCAGTTATCAAAAACACTTGAGTATAAGTGGTTCAGTGTATCAGGCTGGTGGTGGTGGTGGTGTAATGATGTGGGGGATGTTTTCTTGGCACACTTTGGGCTCATCAGTACCAATTAAGCATAGTGTCAAGCCACAGTCTACCAGAGTATTGTTGCTGACCATGTCCATAACTTTATGACCACAGTGTATCCATCTTCTGATGGCTACTTCCAGCAGGATAACGCATAAAGCTCGAATCATCTCAAACTGGTTTCTTGAACATGACGATGAGTTCACTGTACTCAAATGGCCTCCACAGTCCCCTGAATTCAATCCAATAGAGCACCTTTGGGTGGGTGGTGGAACGGGAGATTAACATCATGATCATGGATGTGTGCAGCCGACAAATCTGCAGCAACTGCATGATGCTACCATGTCAATATGGACCAAAATCTCTGAGGAATATTTCCAGCTTGCTGCATCTATGCCATGAAGGATTAAGGCAGTTCTGAAGGCAAAAGGGGGTCCAATCTGGTACTAGTAAGGTGTACCTAATAAAGTCTAGTATGGTGGCCGGTGAGTGTGTATCAAACTGTAGGTCTCATTTTATATTAGCATTAAATAGAATTTAGCATGAGTGTGATTAGCTCAGTGTAGGGACTCCATAATACCTAAGAATTCAAATAAAATTAATATTATATTGATATATTTTTTAAGTATGGTACATATAATGTTACAATTATCTCTTTTGGTGTCTGGAGTCACTTGCATAATGTTAAAATCTAGATTTTTGGTATGATTTTCCTTGCATTAAAAGAAAGCTCCGGTGTTTACATGTCGATTTTATACCATAACAAATCCATTCTGCAGAAATCGGTGTAGTGAACGGTGTAGATCAACACAAACATCTCACATTTGATTTCTCCACACGGCCATTTACCAACTAATGAACATATTCAGATATGCACTGATAGGAACACCAATAATAGCAGAGACCGAAGCAGACGGTTGCGTTTCAGTGTAAAATGTGAAAGCAGCAGCAGCACATGATATAAGCCATAAGGATATTCTCAGCGTTCAGACGGCCAATGGTTTCTTCGCATTCTCCTAATGTCTGCCGAAGCCCCTGAAGCCGGTCTGAACTCTCACCCTCCTCCTCCCCACCTTCATCTGTTATACGAGCTGAAGCTTTATCTTCAAACTGCTCGAATAATTCGGTGTCTCCAAACTCCACCGCAGCCATGTTTGATGAACACAATGCGCGTCCGGTTCGAAGTGTAAAATCTAGAGGGGATACAGCTACGGATGCTCACGTCAATATAGCATAATTTTTGAGACACGGTATAACAATAAATTAAATTTTTGCATAACCGTAAGGGTTGAGTTTAGGGGTAGGCGTTAATAAAATACAATAAAACAAGTAATTTAATAAATAATATGAATAACGGTCGATTTAATTGCTGTTTTTACATTAGTGAGATGGTTAGTTTTAGAGTTGTTGAAGGGGTAGACGTTAATAAATACAATCAATGCGTAATTTAAGGAATAATAATAATATAGAGAGAGATATAAATCTTGTTAACTTCCGACCGCAGCTGTATCTATTCTAGAATCAACCGTTTTGAGGCTCGGCCGCTGATTGGCTACTCTGGAAGAAACAGGAAGTAAATAAAGTCCACCATTCAAATAACACGGCGGACTGCTCTTTATAAATTAAAGGCGGCTTTGGTACAGTATTGTTACCGCGTTAAAATGTCTCTGTTTTGTTAGATGTTTTCACTAAACGCTTTATTTCTCAACTATTGACCGCATCATGTCATCTGGAGGAGTTTCTCTCATCAATATGTCCCACTGGGAGAGTGGCAAAAGGAGGATACGATTCTTGTATCTGACAAATAATAACTCGTTTAACGTTACTAAAGGATGCAGAAATGAGGTGAGTGTAACTTTAGGGTTATATATATATATATATGGATCAAAGACATAAATGGGGGCTCGAATATAACACTAAAGTGTTATATGGCTTTAATTGTCTCCCCACATGTATTATAAGAAAGAGTCCTGTTTGTTTTTTTATCCGAGTAAGACATTATGACACATTCATTATACTGTCACTCTATATTTATTCTCCATAATATCAGTAACAATACTTTATTAATATAACATAATATAATACATTTTATTTTCGGCTTAGTCCCTTTATTAATCTGGGGTCACCACAGCGGAATGAACCGCCAACTAATCCAGCATATGTTTTACGCAGCGGAAGCCCTTCCAGCTGCAACCCATCACTGGGAAACACCAATATGCTCCCATTTTGACACATATACACACCATGGACATTTTAGCTTACCCAATTCACCTCTAGCGCATGTCTTGTAGGGGAAACCCACGCCAACATGGAGAGAACATGCAAACTCCACACAGGAACGCCAATTGACCCAGCCGAGGCTTGAACCAGCCCAAGTTATTCAGAGATACAGTGCAGCCCCAAAATGCTACTTTTTTTTCAGAGTGAACCACCAGTTTTACAGTTTTACACAGCGGATGCCCTTTCAGCTGCAACCCAACACTGGGAAACACCCATATACACATGCATTCACACACTATGGCCAATTTAGCTTATTCAGTTCACCTACAGCGCATGTGTTTGGACTGTGGGGAAAACCGGAGCACCCGGAGGAAACCCAAACCAACATGGGGAGAACATGCTGGGGCTTGAACCAGCGACCATCTTGCTGTAAGACAACAATGCTAACCACTGAGCCACCGTGTCGCTACAAACAATACATACAAGAGTCAAATAATAATAGATAAAAACACTACGTAAATAATATAAATACAAAAACGAATAAATAAATTTAAAAATACTGACCTTTAGTTTTAATCTAAATTAGTCTAATCCTCTTCATTTGACCTCTTTCCTGCAGAATTCATGTCTTTAAAATAATCTATGAATGGTTGCCAGATTTAATGGAATTTGTCTTCTTTCTTTTCTTAAAGAGAATCTGAATATTCTTAATATTTTTTTAATAACTGCAGTATACTCATTTTTATAACCTAATAGTTCATTCAAAAAAAGAATACATTCATTAAATCTTTCTGATTTATTTTGTACGGTCAGATGATGTGTCAACGTAACGTAATATCCATTTTCTAAAATCAAATGTTCTCTTTATTCTGTAGGCTCAGATGATCCCTCTCTTTCTTGGAGCTGATCTATTTTCTGAAACAGACGTTCGCGGTGAAAACCAGCCCAGATACCACACCAAATATGCTAAACGAGGACTGGCCACTAAACTGGTTTTCTCTTCAGGTACAATACGAAGAGATCTGTTTCAACAGTATCTGGATGCAGCCTTTATGATGCACGCTGAGATTGCATTGCTGAGTGATTTAATGTCAGACACAATGCACTCAATGAAGTGAGTGAAGTCACTGTGAGGGGTGGGGTTATGTGAGCGCATTAAAAAGCATTGAATGCAGCTCAGATTGCACTGCACCAGGTCTACATCAAGACTACTCTCATCTGTTTTTGTTTTAAGCATCAGATTAACAACATTTTCATGAATCAGTAATTATTAATATATGATGATGTCTAGACTGCAGATTTCAAGGTCTGCGGCTTCCCTGCTCCCACAACAGCCTGTGGTTTTACAGTGTTCAAGGAGTGTTTCGAGTGGCGTTTGAGCTGTACAGCAGACAAGACCAGCTCTCAGTTATGGAGTCATTTCAGGTAAAAATCATGAGTTTGAACTGTTTATTAGTTTTTAAATAGTCAAAATCAAAACCAGAGTAAACCGAAAGTACAGTTAAGTGTTGTGAACATAGAGAGGGTCACTTTCAAGACCTTTTCTATATAAAAGAAAGTTAAAAATAAATATAACTGTTAAACCAGTAATTTTTTTACGACATATTGGTTAATATAAATAATATATATATATATATATATATATATATATATATATATATATATATATATATATATATATATATATATATTCATAACGCTTCACTTTTTCCACATTTTTTAATGTTACAGCCTTATTGATTAAACTAATTATGGATTAAACTAATTTATTTTCTCAAAATTTTACACACAATACCCCATAATGGCAATGTAAAAAAAGAGTTTTGAAATTGTTGCAAATTTATTAAATATAAAAAAGCTGAAAAATCACATAAGTACAATAGTATTGACAGCCTTTGCTCAATACTTTGTTGATGCGCCTTTGGCAGCAATTGCAGCCTCAAGTCTTTCTAAATAGGATGCCACAAGCTTGGCACACCTGTCTTTGGGAATTTTTGCCCATTTCTCTTTGCAGTATCTCTCAAGCTCTGTCAGGTTGGATGGGAAGCGACAGTGCACAGCCATTTTCAGTTCTCTCCAAAGATGCTCAATAGGATTTAGGTCTGGGCTCTGACATTTGGACATTTACAGAGTTCTTGTGAAGTCACTCCATTGGTATTTTGGCACTGTGTTTAGAGTCATTATCCTGCTGGAAGATGAACCTTCATAACAGTCGGTGGTCAAGAGCGCTCTGAAGCAGGTTTTCATTCAAGATGTCTCTGTACATCGCTGCATTCATCTTTCCCTCTATCCTGACAAGTCTTCCAGTTCCTGCTGCTAAAAAACATCCCCACAGCATGATGCTGCCACCACCATGGTTTTCTCCAAACGTAATTTTAGTCTCATCAGATCAGAGAGTTTAGAGGGTCCTTCAGATGCCTTTTGGCTAATTCCAGGCAGGGAGTGGCTTCTGTCTGGCCACTCTTTCATGCAGGCCTGATTGGTGGATTGCTGCACAGATGGTTGTCCTTCTGTAAGGTTCTCCTCTTTCCACAGAAGAACACTGGAGCTCAGACAGAGTGACCATCGGGTTATTGATCACCTCCCTGACTAATGCCCTTCTCCCCCGATCACTCAGATGGCCGGCCAGCTCTAGGAAGAGTCCTGGTGGTTCCAAACATCTTCCACTTATGGATGATGGAGGCCGCTGTGCTCATTGGAACTTTTATAGCAGCAGAAATGTTTCTGTAACCTTCCCCAGCCTTGTGCCTTGAGACAATCCTATCTCTGAGGTCTAAAGACAATTCCTTTGTCTTCATGCTTGGTTTGTGCTTTGACATGCACTGTCAACCCTGGAACCTTATATAGACAGGTGTATGCCTTTTCTAATCATGTCCAATCAACTGAATTAATCACAGGTGAACTCCAATTAAGCTGCTGAAACGTCTGAAGAATGATCAGTGGAAACAGAATGGACCTGGCCTCAATTTAGAGCTTCATGCCAAAGGCTGTCAGTACTCATGTACATGTGATTTTGCAGGTTTTTTACATTTAATAAACTTGCAACAATTCCAACTCTTTTAAGTAAATATATGTATTTAAGAAACGGTTTATTTAAATATATAAATTTTTTAGATCTAATACAAATTATTCATTCATTTTGTTGTCGGCTTAGTCCCTTTATTAATCTGCGGTCACCACAGCGGAATGAACCGCCAACTTATCAGCAAGTTTTTATGCAGCGGATGCCCTTCCAGCTGCAACCCATCTCTGGGAAACATCCACACACACATTCACACACTCTCATACACTACGGACAATTTAGCCAACCCAATGCACCTGTACCGCATGTCTTTGGACTGTGGGGGAAACCGGAGCACCCGGAGAAAACCCACGCGAGGGCAGGGAGAACATGCAAATAATACAAATTATATATATTTATATATGAATACAGACTTTTATTTTGGATGAGATTAATTATTGGACGGCACTAATTCCTATTTGTCTTTGTATCCTCAAATTCTTATTAATTGTTGAATTATTATTATTATTATTTTATTCAAACACAATTTTCTTCAAAAGGATCTTTGGAAATCCCGTATAAATGACGACAACCTGAACATGAGCTATCATCTCAGCGCTCAGGATTATCAACCCCAAGATGAACAAGAACAAACAGCAATAGTGTCAAACGACCACACGTGTTCAATACACCATGACCAAGCGCAAAGAGACTTTCCTCCAGACACGTCCTCATCCACAGACCACGACTACTGTTCCTCAACAGAGCAGGCAAACCCAAACCAGCCCACATTACTCACACAGAAGCTTTGCAATCTAGCAGAAACAGCAAAATTGTGTTCAAATATAGACGAGGAGACTACAATGAAGGTCTTGGAGTATGTTGAACGCAGTATTAACGGGATGATTGAAGAGGAAATATTGACAGATGCAGTGATGTCTCTGCTTCAGGCTCATCTTCAGAGCTTCTCCATTTACTCCAGCAGTCTGTTGAAGGCCGTCGCAGGTTGGCTCGGTCAGCAGTTTAACTCCGCAAACAGCACTATTAGCCAGAGGGTGGAAGGCTTTAAGGCCCAGCACATCGAACATATCACAAACCTGCCTCCTCCAGAGGAACTGGCATCCCAGCTTTTCCCAGAAGCAATGAGGAATCTTCTTGCACACTGGATGGGTCTGAGCGACGAGGCCGAGGACTGGAAAAGACACAGCGAATACCCCATTTTGCTGCTTATACTTGAGTTTGCCAATCACAATCTGGTCACGGGAGTCGCCCATGTATTGTACTCCAGCCTGATATGCAAATGAGTGTACAGTTGAAGTCAAAATACCTCAAATCTGTTTCTTTCTTATGATGAACACCAATAAAAAACACCAAGTGAAAGGAGCGGTCACCAATCCTGGTCCTGGAGGGCCGGTGTCCCTGCAGGGTTTAGCTCCAACTTGCCTCAACACACCTGCCTGGATGTTTCAAGTATACCTAGTAACACCTTGATTAGCTTGTTCAGGTGTGTTTGATTAGGGTTGGAGCTAAAATCTGCAGGACACCGGCCCTCCTCGAACAAGTTTGGTGACCCCTGCTGTAGAGTCTAGATGGGATACAGCTGTGGATAGTCACATTAATATAGCGCTGTACAACAATAAATGAACATGTTTACAGTACTGTGATGGTTGGGGTTAGCTTTAGGCTGTGGGTAGACCTTAATAAAATATAATTAATGGGAAATTTCATAAATAACATAAATAAAACTTGGTATAAATACTATTTCAAATTACTGTGAGGGTTGGGTTTAGGATTTGGCTATGGGTAGTCCTTAATAAAATACACTTAATGGGTAATTTGATAAACAATATGAATAATGGTCAGTATAATTACTGTTTTTACATTACGGTCATGGTTGGGTTCGTGTTGGGGGTAGACCTTAATTAAATACAATTAATGGGTTATTTCAACATAATATAAATATAATTCTCAATTTCTGGCTGCAGCTGTATCCCTTCTAGAAACAACCAGAAACCATTGACATTTGGAAACCATGGTAATGTCTAGATGGGATACAGCTGTAGCTGTCACATAATATAGCGCTGTACAACAATAAATGAACATGTTTACTGTGATGGATGGGTTGAGGTTTGGGCTGCTGCTAGAGCCTAATAAAATACAATTTATTGGGTATTTTCATAAATAATATGAATAACAGTCTGTTTAATTACTGTTTTACATAACTGTAAGGTTTAGGCTGGTGGTATACCCTAATAAAAAACAACTTATTAGGTAATTTCATAAATAATATGAATAAAAATAAGTATTCTTTTGACTACTGTGATGGTTGGGTTTAGGTTTGGGCTGGGGCTAGACCTTAGTAAAATACAATTTCATGGATAATTTAATAAATGATATGAAAAATACCCTGTATAATTACTGTTTTTAATAGTAACCTGAGAGTTGGGGTGGGGGTAAACATTAATAACATACAATCAATGGGTAATTTAATAAATAATATAAATATGAATAATTCTCATTAACTTCCAGCCGCAGCTGTATCCCTTAAAGCAACAACCAACAACTTCCATGGTGTTGTTTTTGTTACTAAGGATGTCAGTGGTTACTGATATAATTTGTGTTCAACAAATAAAAGAAAAAAACACTTTTTGTGTGAACTTTGCCTTTAAATGTGGGTTGGCATGTCATGAGGGGAGTTTTATATGTGCATAGCCATGAAGATAATAATGATAATAAACTACAAATAGTTTATCATTAAAGCTCACTCAAATGTTTTCAATTTTCCAAACCTTGCTATTGAGGGCACAAGTACAACAATATGTCCTAAAATAAATTTATTAGGTGCAAATAAGTTTTAAATCAAAATAAATTTATTAAAGATGTTATTAAATTTCCTTGAAATCGTAATTATTTTCAAATTATTTCCCAAGTGCTGTTTATTGGAGATTTTTTCAGCCTTTTTTGTTAAAGAAGTTTAAATAACCAATCTCGTTTTGTCTTTGTTGAAAACATGACAGAACACGTTTTCTATATATTAGGTTAAATAGGCAAGATAGGTTAATTGCGCAGTAAAAAAAAAGCACAATATCCTCATGTTGTCCCAACACAAATCATTTAAGTTAATGTAACAAACTTAAGTGGATTGAACATAAAACTATTAAGTTGTCCTCCAAAAAGAAATCTCAAGAATTGTGTGCTTTCAATTCATTTTAAATGAGTAGTTTAAAGAATGAGCATAACATTTTTATACATGCAATTTTATGTAGGCAATTGATAGGACAAAAATGGTTTGTTCTGTAGCCAATCGTAGTAATAATGTTGTTGGGGGAGGGGGGGGGGGTATTGGGTGATGTTGACCCAAAATTTCTTATATATATTCTTAATATATAGTTATTATAAATATATGTATGCACGCCCACACACACACACACACACATACATATACATTATATATATATATTTGATTTTTTTTTTCCGGCTGGAATAAAAGCAGTTTTTAATTTTTTAAAAATCATTTTAAGGTCAAAATTATAAGCCCCTTTAAGCTAACTTTTTTTTCGATAATCTGCTGAACAAATCATCATTATACAATAACTTGCTTAATTACCCTAACCTGCCGAGTTATAAATATAAAATAAATCAGTTATTAGAGATGAGTTATTAAAACTTATGTTTGGAAATTGGTTGAAAAATCTTCTCTCTGTTAAACAAAAATTGGGGGGAAAATAAACAGGGGGGCGAATAATTCTGACTTCAACTGTATATAAAGTAAAATGAATGCCCTCATCCAGAATAAAGGAAATAAGACTTTCTGCAGAAGAAAATACATACATAATATATTATATAAACAGACAAGCAAATTTTCTTGCTCTTTTAAACAGCATTCGGGAAAATTATTTCTAAAATTATTTCTAAAATAATTTTGCAGAAGGACTAATAATAATGTTGTCCTCAACCGCGCATGTGTGTGTGTGTGTGTGTGTTCTGCATGCATGAATACAGATATAAGGTTTCACATTATTACACTGCCTTTACTTGTACGTTAATTTACCCTTTATAACATGCAGATACTTGATTACAGTTTGGGCCAAATTAACACCTTGCCTTTAATCTAAGGATTTGTGTCTTCAATGAGCAATCTTTTTTAAATCTTTGAGTGTTTAATTCTACCAGTGTATAACAATCCAACTTTCTGCATAGTTGACGAGCTGAAAAACACACTGCATTCCTCATTTCATCAGAATGGATACAAAAATATATTTACAACTAAAGTAACATGTAATAAAACATGATGGTATGCATTTCGTATGATAAATTATATCGTTTATGGTTATCTGTGCCCTTAATATATTTACTTAGTAACAATTTTCTTAAAAGCAAAATAGCATCTCTCAGAATACCCAAAAGCTTTCGTTGAAATATCAGGAATTGACATGTTTATATACAAATTCCACACCCCAATCACCTAAACCAACGTTGTACATTACTAAACACAATATATTCAGAGATCAAGCGACAACGTGTTTGAGCAATAAACTGTATTTACACGTGAATGTTCAAAAATGAATAAAACGACAGAACTGATGAATTATACATGCAAGCTAATGCACCAGCATTCTCTACAAGCACGTAAACACACCAGTTTTACAGAAACGAGAAGCACAAACACACACCGGTCAGACGGCATCCATGCCCCTTGAAGAAAACGAGGAGGAGAAGCCAAGGCCCATTCCCCTCTGTGTGTGCGTCTGTGAGCGGGCCATCTCATACTGGACGTCCAGATTACGAAACATCTCCTCCTGCTGCTGCAAGGTTTTCAGACCGTCCTCGTTCACCGCTGCCGAGGAAGCAGCTTCTTCTTCACCCTGCGGTCAACAACAGTCAGTCAGAAGACACGTCTACAGAAACCCTTGTGCGCTGTTAAGGATGTTTTCATCCACTATGGGGGGATTTTAAAGGCAATTTGGCAACATCATTCTCTGTTACTGCAGATGGAATGATTTTTGGTGACCAATCTTTCTTTAACACATATTTTGATGAAAGGCTTTGAAATAAAAAAATAAAATAAACTCTAGGCAAATTGATTACCCTTTTGTTATGTTTGGGGCTGTTTTTGCCCCCATTGACTTCCATTATGAAGACATTTTTTTTTTTTTTTTTAAAGAAATTGAGGATTTTAACTTTGTCCTATGCCTTAATAGACTGATCCTTGCATTAATAGTTCTGTTTTTAACTAATTACATGAAATTATGCTGATGTGTTTATCCTCATATACCCTTGCTCCATAACAGCTGTGGCTTTGTGTTAACTCCTTGGTACTTATTATCAGCAAAATGTTACAACTCTTCTTTCAGAGTGTGCTCGTTTACAGGAAGAATCACAGACGGGAGGGGCTCACTCTCTTGTTGGGCTGTTATGTGTAACCTTTTCTGTGGAGATTAAGGCCCCGTTTACACTAGTACGTTTTAGTTTTAAAACGGCGTTTTAGATCAAAAACGATCCGCGTCCACACTAGCGTTTCCCCTAGCGTCTCTGAACATATCTCCGTCCACACTACGCAACCAAAAACGTAAATATTACATGACCATTTGCGCGCACTGGGCATGCGCGTTCCAGTATAAACAGAAAGCATGCGTCATGCTCAGCATTTGGTTATTGTTAGTCAACAAACGCCGGTTGAACATTAGACGCGATGGCAAAGAAAGCAAGAGAGGTATTTTAGTGGACAGACGACAAGGTCGAGTTGTTACTAAACGCAACAAAGGAATAACTGCACAATGGCGCCCAAAACAGACAATAGTGCAAACAACGCTCCCATTTCTGTGTCCATGTTGTTTACAGTACTGTCTTCCGGTAGCGTTAAAGCCATGTGTTATAGTCATGTGATAGGGGCTTGACGAATAAGGGAAGGATACGCAATGACACAAAACACCCAATCAGGTAGCGAATCTCAGCAGTCCCGCCTCCGTTTTCAGATGTCTCCGTTTTCCTCATCCACACTGAGACGGAGCAGCAGCGTTTCAGAATGAAAACGGCCTCAAGTGTTTCCAAAACGCTCCGTTTTCGCAGCTCGAGAACTCAGGCGTACTGTCGACGGATGGCGTAACCGTAGCAAAACTTATGCGTTTTAAAACGAAAACGGGGTTGGGGGTTGGAGGAAGCATGTGTGTGTGCTTAGCTGACACAGAACGCCTCTGCAATGCTTTATTCATCTAATTAATTAAATCGACTGAACTTACTTAAAGCCTCTGACTGATGTTTTAACCTGGGAGGACTAGAAAAAGTCCAACAGTTGCAAAGATTTGACAGCATACAATCATGCATTCTTGATTATTGGTGGTTTTCCCTGCTGGGTAGAGGTCAAATGTGTCATTGTTACGGTTGATAATCAGTTGCAGTGCTAAAAAAAAAAGCTTAGTTTCTGGCTTCTATATGGAGTATACTGTGTGTGTGAGAACATTTGTGCACACTTATCTTGATATGTCTGAGAAAATCTAAAAATGCAGCTCGGCTCCCAGAACACAGTAAACATAGTGAGTGTATTTATGCGCACACACACACTATAATCTGCTGTTTTACTCCATATGCAAGCCAGATACTTTATTTACACAGGCCTATGTGAAGGGATAATACTGCCAACTAATGATCAACAGCAAAAATAACTCATTTGACCTCTTCCCAACAGGGGAAATCACTAACAATCAAGAATGCATGATTATACGCTGTCATGGCTTTGCAATCAAAAAAAGTTATTTTAATGGAAGTCAATGGGGCAAAAACAGCCACCAACATAATAAAGGGGCAGTCCATTTGAACAGTACACAAGGATTAATAAGTGTTAAAAGAACAATTAAAAGTGAGGACATTTGAATATTTAGTACAGGAGAACGCTTACTTTGATGCCCATAAGTTTCCGGAACTTCACATTTTGGTCTTTATTCCCAAAATTCAGCTTTTCCCAAAGTTCAGCGGTCTGTGACTTGTTGTCCTACAACAGAGACTATTATTAGTAAAGACCCCTCATATATCAAATATCATACGCAATCCAGAACCCCCTCTACACACCACAGGAAAACCTCAAAACACTGTGCAATTCTGAGTGTGCCTCACACAGGTGAGTGGGCTTGACAAACCACCTGTAAAAACACTCATCTTTCCATATGCACTGGACAATTTACATTTACAAATACTAAAGGAGGAAAACTGTTTACCTGTGAATGTACCACAAAACATGTCAAATTTAAGACACTTTAAGACCACGAATGACATTTCAGACTTATATAGGGATAAACGCTATGTTTTTTTTTTTAATGGCCCAGGAGAAAAAAAAAAAAAAAAGTACTTGCCCCATCAAAAAACTATAATAATTAGTTATTTCTTAGCAACATTTTAAATAATGTGTTTAAACAAGCAGACCCTAGTTTTTTTACATACATTTTTTTTAACAAACATTCATTAATTTTCTCTTCGAGTTTTGCTTAACATTTTATTCAGATGTTTTTATTGGTGATTAGATGCGTGTCAGACCGGTTGGGCAACTTTACATAAACAATGGGAAAAAAGGATTTAAGATGTACAAGCCAATATATAAGTGAAATTAAGAATTTGTTAAGACCTGAGATTTTGTTTTTGACCCAGCGGACACCCTGATAAAGCTTGACTTAACTCGCATGAGATTGTAGAATGATAAAATGACAATCAATTAGCTATAAGAGGCACCTTTTTTTTTTTTGGTGTCAAAAAGCTGAATATCCTGCCTGAATGCCTGATTCATAGTAAAAGTGTATTCTTGCAAGTGAAATTACATACAAAGCCAATGTAAACGCATCTACAAAGGCTAATTTCTGCCAGGAAAATGACCATATTTAATATCCAACTGCACAAAAGTGGTGGGAAAAATGTTAATGTTAGAATGTTTTGGTTTTGTATTTTTCATCCAAACAATATACAGCTGAAGTCAGAATTATTAGCCCCCGCTGTATATCCCCCTATTAACTCATCTCTAACAACTGATTTCTTATATCTTTCCCATGATGACAGTCAATAATATTTGACTAGATATTTTTCAAGATACTAGTATTCAGTTTAAAGGCTTAATTAGGTTAATTAGACAAGTTATGGTAATTATACAAGGTAATTGCTAATAATTTTGACCTTAAAATGGTTTTAAAAAAATAAAAACTGCTTTCATTCTAGCCTAAATAAAAAAATAAGACTTTCTCCAGAGGAAAAAATATTATCAGACATACTGTGGAAAAGTCCTTGCTCTGTTAAACATGTTAAACAGAAAAATACTTCAACTGTATATGGTGATATTAGTTGACTTAAAGTTTATATAATAGTGACTTGTCTGTACCCCTTCTTTCTTCCCCTGCCACAACATCTTCCTCTTCTTTTCCTGCTCTGCAAACTTCATTGGGTTTACTGCTGAGGGATTGTAGTAGCTTGGCACAGCGATGCCAGTCTCTGCCAGCGTTTTGGCCTGAAGCGCCGCCATCTGAGCGGCCATGGCAATCTGCGGCGTGACCTGTGTGCCGGATGCCAGCAGCGCTGCCACGTTCAGGGCAGGACTGGGTGCTGCCGCGGCTGGATCACACTGCGGTGTTGATGCTGTAAACAGACAACCAGCAAAACTATCAGATGGGTTTGCTAATGCAGGGGAAATATTGAAGCAATAGCCAGAGGATCAGTGGTCAAGTGTATCTGTAAGACTGCAAGACAAGGGCGTAACATGAAGGAATGTAGCTATCGAGATCACACTGAACCATGCAAGATGTCACAACAGGGTGTTTTTGGCAAGATGGCGGAAATATGGATGGTTGGGTTTAGGTTTGGTGTAGGTTTAGATGTTAATAACTGTGATGATTGGGTTAAAGGTTGAGGAAGGTGTAGATGTTAATAACTATGATGGTTGTGGTAGGTATAGACGTTAATGACTGTGATGGTTGGGGAAGGTGTAGATGTTAATAACTGTGATGGTAGGGTTTAGGGTTAGGAAAAGTTTTGGCAATAACTGTCATGGTTGGGTTTAGGGTTGTGGTAGGTATAGACATTTATAACGGTGATGGTTGGGTTTAGCGGAGGGGTAGGTTCAGACATTAATAACTGTGATGGTTGGGTTTAGGGTTGGGAAAAGTTTTGGCAATAACTGTCATGGTTGGGTTTAGGGTTGTGGTATGTATAGATATTAATAACTGTCATGGTTGGGTTTAGGGGTGGAGTAGATGTAGACGTTATTAACTGATGGGTACAGTGCCATCTTGCAAACAACAGTTTTGACATGTGGGTCTCTATAACTTCAAGTTACACCTCTACAAGTTACACACCTTTATGTTATGCCCCAGTCTTGCAGTCTGCAGACAGGCCCTACTCTCTGTAGTGGTTACTTGCCTGCTGCTTTCTCTTGATGCTGCCATTTTTCCAACATATCCTTCTCTTTCTGTTCCTGAAGCTTCTTTGCTCTTTCCAACCTAGAAGTGCAAAGAGAATCTATTTAGAGAACGTGCAGATTAGGACGCAACTAAACCATCAACAAACCTTAAGCATGGAGAGGTTTAAGCAAGTCTAAAAACTTTCAGTGAAAGGCTAAAGTGTGGCTTTTTCTCTAAGAGAATAGAGAGTGCTGTAATCAATTACTTTCCACTTTTTTCTTCTTTTGAACAAAAGATGATATTAAAAAAAAAATAAAAAGCTAGAAACCTTTACCTTTCATAGTTTGTTTCCTACTATGGAAATTAATTGTTCCAAAGCTTAATATTTATTGATTGTGTTCAACAGAAAACACTCAATGGTTTGGAATCAAGGTTCATTTAGACCCAAGCATTCACTTATTTGTTCAACCCTAAAACAAGATGGAAGGACATTTAAATGCAAGCACAGTGAGCAGCAGGAAATTCATAGTGAAGGCATGTCAGTTTACTGGGAATGCACCAGGTTGGCTCATCGACATTAACACAGGTGCATTTCCAATCAATTTGTACTAAAAACACTAGTGGTGTAACAATACACTCATGACAAAATTTGATACGCATCTAGATACTGATGATATGATATCTCGATATTGTATGCTTAAAAAAAAAAAAAAAGATTTACAACTAATATTATCATTACTATTAGATATTTCTTAAATACAATAATATTACTAATAATGATGTCGAATAATAACCAAATGCACCAGCTTAAGTGTGATTTCATAAATGCATATACATCATTATGCGACGTAATATAATACGCAGTCACGTATTTATATTGTAATAAACACATGACATTTAACAGGTTGCTTTTTAAAATTCATTTGATTGTTTGACGATAATATTTTCGTTAACCACTTTACAAAACACCCTATTATTTACATAAATATTTAATTTCTACCATTACAATTTAATTAATTTTTTTGCTAAGAGCTTCTGAAAACAACAGCATTATTGGTATAAGAGTTTTTCATAAACGTTTCGTCATTGTTTGCTTTCTAGTCGTTGTATGATTGTTTTTACTGGTGTAAAACATTTTAGTCAACCTTAACCGTAGTAATAAAATAAAGGTTGCTTGATTTATAGGACACAAGAAGTAATACAAAAATACAGTATTTTTGAGATACAGACCTCCTGGCTAATGCTTCTTGAGCATCCATAGCCGTGTTTCTGCCCCTGAAGGTCACTGGGCTGATTGATGGACTGCGGCTCTTCTTCCGTGATTTTTCTATCCTCTTCTTCTTTTCCCTAAGATGCAATTGGACCATCTCATAGTTTAATGACAAATGTTCATTCAGTTTTATGCACAATCCGCACAAACACAGAAATCTAAGCGCACCTGCTCTTGCTACGGCTCCTGCTGCGATGTCTGTGTTTGCTTCTGGAGTTTGACCGGGACCTGGCCCGTCTCTTCTTGTCACGACTTCTTGATCGCGAGCGAGATCTTCTTTTGTCCCAGTTTCTATTATGGTGTCGCCTGTAGTAAAATAGGAGTTCAAAATGAAGCACATTAAAAATCTACATATTAACTTTATACATTAATTTATTTACATGATTATGAGCATCAGAATGGGGAGAGAGAGAATTGAGGTTATTGCCATTTCAGCTTCTTTAGCTATGTCATGTCAACAACAAAAAAATAAAAAACCAAAATCAAGTTTACCACATTTTATAAATACCACTTTTCTATAGTAATAAAAAATATTCTAATAATTAAAAGTAACCAACAACAATAAATAATACAAAAGGTAAAATACATAAATACTAATACTAATAATGATAATTATATAATATTATAAAAATAAAACAAATACGATTTTGTCTAGAAGAAAAAATATTACAAAAAGTACTGCAAAAAAATCCTTGCTGTTAAACATAATTTGGAAAATATTTGAAGAAGAAATTCACAGGAGGACTAATAAAGTGGACTTTAAATGCATACTCCAATTCCGAATTAGCCAGGTGAAATGCAAATACTTTTCTTTTGAGCGTGATCTCGAATGGCTCCTCGGTCTGGAGGTCTTCTTGTCTTTTCGCCGGTGTCTCTCCTCCGTGTCTTCAGACAACCGGTCTCGGCCTTTGTCTGAAAACTCCAGCCGCTCCTCTGATCCGCTCTGACATTTCAGAGCTTTCTCAGAGTCCTTCTTCCGTGCCTGTTTTAAGAAGAATTGGTCTCTTTCAGGAAAATAGTGCAACAAAGAGAGTTAGTAAAATGGTCTAAGAACAAACTTGCCAAAATAAATCTGACAAGAAATACACTTTTTTTTTTTTTAATTACAAACTTCCACCACCATCATCATCATCATCATCATCATCATCATTCGAGTGCAGCATGTACACTTTCATTAAGCACAATTGAGTGTGTATACCCAGCACATTTACACCCAGATCACTATGAAAAAAATGCAGCACTACCATTAGTCGACAACAACTCAAAAATTGCATAATTTCTTAGAATTGGCCTTTAGATTTCTTGTTCGAATTGTTTTTCTACAAGATAAGTCAACATGAAACTGAAATAAAACCCATTTTCACTTGGTTAAATCTCGCACTTGTGCATACAAGAAATATTTAATCTTTGATCAAAACTAATAACTCTAAAGTGTGCTTTATGTGGGGCATTTCTGCATAAAAAAAAAATCTTAATACTTTCTAAAAGCACTGCAGGTGTTGTCAGTGCAGGAAGCTTGCGTAAATAAAGTACATTCGAGATGGGAATTCAACCAAATGTACTACTCTTCATTGAGATCAATCAGATCTGTAACCTGAAACAGGGACTTTTGTCATGATTGCATTTTATTTTTGGTTTGGTTTACTGCAATATGTTAAGTGCACCAAATTGTTATGCAAGTCATCTAGCAGAACAGTTGTCCTCAGTGATCAGTAAAAACCATCAAGATGGATTATCAAGTACATTACAGTACATAGCTATCATAAAACACATATGCATCAGTAATGCTTTTACCTGATTATATGTTACTTCATTTATATATTTAATTTATACAGTTACACTGGAAATCAAGGCTTAGCTAGTCTTCTTGCAGTACACAAGGCCGTTTATACAACAGTTTAGGTTGAAAATAATTTATTTAGAATAAGATGCTGTTGATTTTTGTGTAATATTTCTCATTAAAGTGATAATTAATATACAAGTTCCTCTCTTCAGGCTGAGACCACCTTTTTCAGGTGACTTATAATTGATTATTTACAACACTGTTATCCCTAAAGTTGTATTAATTCAAAATACTTAGATTCAATAAACATAAAAACCAACTTTTTTGCTTAGTTATCCATTTTGTTTAGTTTATTGTACGATTTGCATGATATTTTTGATTCTACTGGAATGTTTAAATTGAATGTACTTAACAAAGCTTATTTTAGTCTATTGGTAAAGGAGTGATGAGCAAGGGGAAATGTGATTGGCTCTTTGTCTTTGGACTGACGTCACTGGTGAATACAGCGTGAGCGCGCATTTTCTAATGGCTGCTGATCACTGTGAGTACGATTTCATACTTTTGTCTCAAACAGTCCACATTGTTTTACTTTAATAAACAAAATATGTAACCGTTAGCAAGAAAACCACATGTAAGATTAAGCTGTGTCTGACGTTAGGATCATGTTATTGTTCCGGTCAATCGCAACCGCCATTGCCACATTTATTAACAGTTCTAAGACGTGAAAAGTGCAAAGACGTGCGTAATAGGATCATGATAGATCATATATTATGTTAAAAAAAAGTTAATGTAAGTTTTGCCTGTGTTAGCGTATTCATTTATGCCACGTATAACCGATCACGGCCGCCGCATTTCATCTATATAATTCGTTACAGTTAACGTTACTGTACGTGAAAACATGCTTTATGAGGTCGTCACGTGTAAAGTTTAATATTGATGCTGTATTCGATGAGTCATCCGCGTTATCTTTTGAGTAAACTGATTATTTTTTTAGTGGTGGTTATGTGTCGTCAGATGTTTAGCATAACATAACCTGAGCTGTTTTTAACGTTTTTTTTTCTTTCTTGTAAGTAAAGTATTAACTGACTAGAATACATTGAGATTTGCCCCTTCGGAAATACGAATTCATGTTAGTTGGCAGTTTTTAAAGATATGCAACCTCGTGCTCATCAGTCTTAGCAAGTGAATTTTCAGTTAATTAGAATGAAAGCTAAATAATTAACTGTAGCTCTCTAATTCTTTTGATTAACAATAGCTGTTTGTGGGAAATTTGGAGATAACAGATCAAATTATGTAAATGTGTTTTGTCAGCTAGTAATCTAATGTATATTTTTGTAACTGTAGATTGCAGAAAGATCAAAGCAAGGCCAACCAGGATGAGATGAAAATGTAAGTATTGCTCATTTGCTTGTGACAAAAGATGGTACTTATTAAAACATTGCAGATTTAAACATGGGAGCTATGCAAAAAGCCAGCCATTTCCATGCATATATCAGGAATGTATTTGTAATGAAATGAGTACAGTATTGATAAACATGATAACATGCTAATTTGACAGTTGTTTAATTTTGACATTTCTCTGATGTTAATAAACTTTTTTGTGTTTTAATACTACAGGTGTATCAAGAGTTCAACCAGATAGTGTGTATATTAAGCAAGAATTATATTGGTCTCTTGATCATCACTGCCCACAGCTGATTCAGATCTTCAGGTCAAAGAGAGGATTCACTGGACAGATTTTTATCTTCTACAAAATATCAAGGTTTGTGTATGCCATTGTTTGTACATGCCTTTGACATAAATTGATGCCATTGTGTGCTGAATTCTGAAATTTATATAATTACTTTAGAAATCCTCAGTGACAGAGACTAAATTTTAATACATGAAAATGCCCTTTCTCTCATGTTGACAAATGATACAATGTTGTTTCTCTGCAACACCTCAGGCGTCTGACCTCACTGACATGCCATGTGTTGCCATTTGAGTGCTTCCAGTAGTTGTTGGTGATGACCCAACAGTTCTTCAAAGCATGTTTTGTAAGTATCCTTAATAAAAGTTTTTGTATATTAATCTAAGTTTTTTTGCATTATGTTTCTTAATGTGCATTTATGTTAGCAATAAAAATAAATAAATCACCCAAGCAATGTCTTATTGTAGTTCATTAATAAATAGAATAATGATCAACATGAAATTTGAATTCATGTTATAACTCCTTTGAAACTCTAAAATGATAAGTAGAATTATATAAAGTCTTTAGTAGTTTAATTATATCAAATCTTTTTATGCCGTATGCAATGACTTGTATACAAAAATATTTGTAGTATTTTTATATTTGATATATCATTGAATACTGGATATGTTTGGGTATACAATTAACAAATTATGCTTGCATACAACTAAAAAACATTACATACAAATAATATATATTAAAATCAAATGTACACCTCTAAGATATATTTATGTTATCTATTTATTGTTGTCAGGCTTCAGATGATGGAGACTCAAATCAACATGTGCCCGTTGGAATTCTTAACCAAGAAAATTAAGATGTGGCTCTGCAACCCCTGTCCTTCCACCTCCACCCATTCTCTGGGAATCATCTTGGAGGGAAATGTTGTAATGGACAATATAGACAATATACCCCAGGCCAAGTGTCTTTTTGGATCAACCTATGCACTGCACCTAGGCTACACAAAATGCATGGACAATACCCTTCTTTTTATTCAACAAGTTTGGGTAAGAAGATGCTGAAGGGTAAGATTCTGGCTGTTAAAAATCAACTTGTCATGTAAACTGGTACAGAAAAGGCATGTTCCTTCAGGCTTGCTGTCCTAACTGTGAGATAAAAAAATTAAAACTATGCTTTAGTGTTTGGCAAGTGTAAATATTCCATAATGTTACAATGTAATAACATCCTGTGGTTGTTTATTTTTTGGATATGTTTGTAAAAATGTATTAAAATATTTTAAACAAGTGTTTTAATAAGATTTATAACAATAAATATTGACTAATTGTTATACAAGGCATTTTCTAGTTTTGTCACTTGTTTCGGAGTGATATTTCTAAATGATTTTAAATAAACTGTAAAGTAAATTTTTATTCTTTGTCCTTGTTTGTAATTAGGGGTATTTTCATTAAATCATTTATTGTGAATAGCTAAGGTTAAAATTATTTCTGTCATAACATTCAGGTCAAGATTTTATGTTTTAAGTTTATACAGGTTGATTGAACTTAAAAAATTTATGGAAACTCGCTGCCCTAAAAAAGCTAATTTCGTCTTGTTGAAAAAACAATACTTTTTAGGTTTATTGTACCTAAGATTTAAATATTGTTGTACTAAAAACCTTTATTTCAGTCAACTAAATATTTAATTAAATGCATTTGAAATCTTAAGTACAATAAACTTAAAAAGTGTTGTTTTTTCAACGAGACGAAATTAGCTTTTTTAGGGCAGCGGGTTTCCATAAATTTTTTAAGTTCAATCAACCTGTCCGGGCTTACAGTGAATGCTCATATAGGTTAATGAAACAACTATGAAAGTACCAACACAAACATGGAAAAATCATTTCCTAAAATGATTTCTAGAAATGTGTTTTATGCTGCAATTGTAATGGGTTGAAAGTGCAGTTTCATGTTGACTTTAAAGGGCATTTTACATGATATAGCTTTTTCTTTTTGCAATCTTGCCACATATTTTGTTTACATGCACATTTCCATGCATATGATGATCAATGTTAAAAGCACAATATTTAATGAATACCAAATAAATTATACCTTTACACAGAGCGCATTATGGTTTAAATTCTTTAAGAGTTTCTGCAGGTTTCATCAAGTCAAATCTAAGACCTTTGTAAGACTGTTAAGAAGGAAATTTCAGACTTAAATGTGACAAAACCCTAAGGATTTTTTCTTACGGCCATTGGAAAAGATTTTTACTTGCCATATTAAAATTAAAAGTTCGTTATTTCCTAGCTTTAAGAACTATAATAAACTAATTGTTTTACATGAAGGCTGAAAAATAAGAAATAAAGACCCGTTTAAAATATCTTAATACCTACAACATCATATTTCAGTCAGTTTAAGACTTCAAAACCTATTTTTTATTTTTATTTAAGACTCTACAGACACCATGTATCTAAGCTTGGGTTTAATAGCATTTATTTCTCATCATCTTCATCAAATTGAATAAATTAAACAAATAAGAAACTAACGTTTAGGTTTAGCCTATTTTTTTTACTCTAGTCACCATATTTAAATGCGTTATTACTATGTTTAAGCTTAGTAAGACAAAAAGTTCAACCAAATATTTAATAATATAATAATGACAAATCTCCGATTGATCAATAACACACAGCAGCTGCGTTCATACACAATAAAGTGGCATGATTCATAAGAATGATCCCCTTCTGCTTACTCTCCTGTTCTCCCATCTGAATTTAACTCACGGCTATGTACATCATAAAATGCCCTTAAGACTTTTAAGCCAATTTAAACAAATAAAATTCAGCTTAATGGCTTTAAAAAGGATTTCAATAACGTACACATCTGCATGCATTCACATGGGGAATATCCACTCAACTTTTCATTAGCAATTCTGAGCTTGTGACTACAAAAAAAGGCAGTAACTGGGGTTGTGAGACAAAAAGAGATCTTTTATAGGCAAAAAAAAAGTTTAAATGGCAGATAGTTACCTGTCCAGGTAGTAGGCATATAATTTTGCTATCTGTCAGCAGCGTCTTCTGTTCAGAGTGTCTCTTCGTGCATTAGCACGCTGAGTATAATTTATTATAGAAATGTTATCATATGATCTAAAATACAGGACGTTCAAAAATCTCCCAAACAGACATTTCTCTTCATCTGTAATTAATATTTACAAAAGAATGTAAGATTACATGCACTTGTGATTATCTCAGTGCTCTTTTTCTCAGTCTGGCATTTCGTTCTTTTGTCTAAACTTCATACTTACCCTGGCCTAAAGCTAGAAATGCCAGCTGTAAAACTACTGATGATGTGACCAGTTTAATTTAGGTCTACATGACATCAATGGGCTAAAATTAGTTACCTCTTTGCTTCTGCTGTGGCTTCGTTTGTGCCTCTTGTCTCCTAAACGACCAAAAAAAAAAAAAACACAAATAAATATGTTTAAGGGACATTGCCAGATTCATATAATTTGAAACTTAAAAAAGGGTCTAACTAACTATTTTCTTTGGAATATATGGCATAAGATGTAATATAGCCTTTAAAAGATAGTTCACCCAAACATTTGAATGTTCTCATTGCTTACTTGCACTTCAATGGTTCTAAACCTTTATGAAAGGGATGCTCCAATCAGGATTTTTGCAGCCAATACAGTAGGGCTGTGCAATTAATCGAAATTGCGGTTTCGATTATGGCTTCTAACGATTATGAAAAACCATTAATTGAGATAAACGATTATTGCATCATATACCGCCCCTTTCCAGCTGTACACATTTGTCGCTCTGCAAAGCTCAGTTTCACGTGAAAATGACTAAAAGCATTTACTGTAATGTAACGTCTGCAGCACGGGATGCGCAGCATTCATTGATGTACGTTTGAATCATTCATATTTTTTATAGCACGAAAGAGCGCCGCCGCGCTTAGCCTCAGACAGGCTCGGAGACTAGCAGAGCACACACATCTAACGCCATCTTAACGTGAGCACTTTAATGTTCAAGTACATGCACATTTGTGTCAGAGCGCGGTGTTTAGTGATTATTCATATTAACCCTCATTTGTGTAACTAACAAACAAGTCAAAACACATGTGAAAGAGAAACCATATCAGCGCCGCACTATTCTTAAAGTGACAGCGCGCATAATCCTTGCTGTCGTCTGTTTTTATCATTATTAATCAAACAAAAGGACAAAATCCCTCACTAGTTGACTGAAGGACTTTTTTTGTAGCTAAAGTTTTTTTCTTACAGTGAAGATGCTTAAAGCATAGTTTAAACATAACAGATTCAGCAACTTATTTCTAATAACCGATTACTTTTATCTTTGCTATGATGGCAGTACATAATATTTTAGTAGATATTTTTCAAGATACTAGTATTCAGCTTAAAGTGACATTCAAATGCTTAATTAGTGTAATCAGGTCATGTTATAACAGTATTTTTTTCTGCAGACAATCAAAAATATATATTGCTTAAATGGTCTAATAATATTGAGCTATTTAAATAAGTTTCAAAATATTTAAATATTGAAAAATTATAGAAAATACTGTAAAAAAATTCCTCTGTTAAACATCATTTGGAAAAAAAAAAAAAAAAAAAAAAAATATATATATATATATATATATATATATATATATATAAATTCATAGAAGGGTGAATAATTTTGACTTCAACTGATAATCGTTTTAAATAATCGTGATTACAATGTGAATCCAGCAATCGTGCTCGGATCCGAACCAAAACAATCGCTCCAAGATAGCCTGACTGAGAGGGTCTAGGCTCGATTGAATTGAAATCTGAAGCAGATTGATTGTATTGAGAAAGCGATACGATCCAAGCCTGGCTACATCACAGTGCATTATGGATATGTAATAGGCATATATGGCTATATGAAGAGAGAGTGATGAGTAGGGTGGTCATTCCTACCGGCAATTGTGCGTTTAATGTAAAATACGAAAGTGAAAGCATGCTGAACTATTAAAGAGAGCTGTTTATCTGTTAGGAAAATTGACCGAACTGCAGTAGTTTATCTGTTATTTCTCTCTATAATGTAAAGCCTATAATGCATAAGCCAACTGCTGTGTATGAGAAAATCTTACCAATGCTCTAAATTTATTGACGACGTCTTTGGGTGTCACCATTCAAAATTAAAGCACAGATTTTCACTTATAATGTCTTATTGCTCATCATCATATATTAAAATAAGGTTGATGACAGCTGAGTGGGACTCTGCAAAATAAACCCTGAAACAATGACCAATGTGAGGAGAGTTTACTCGCATATGACTTGTTTTAGCTATTTTGGTCCGTTTAGAAACTTTGTCGTGTGAAAGCGAACAGCACAAAGAACAACGTGCAACAATTTTAACCCTTGTTTTGGAACAAATGAATCGATTTACAGGTGTAAAAGCACCCTAAGCTAATAAATTAAGGATGCTGTATATAGTCTCTTAAACATATCTTATAACAGGGTTCTTGCACCTTTTCCAATTTCCAGTGATGTTTTGCACAATTTGCCGTCAGTTTGACAAGTCAGCTACCTTTTGTTAAATTATTTTGAACTCCAATAAAATACCTGCTTATTTTACATACTGCTCTTGTTGTTGGCGTAACACTGAACATTCCTCATTATACATTTATTTACATTTTTTAAATATTGAAATTCTAGATTCACAGACATTATTTGACACATTATTTAAAATATGTGGCTAAAATAGCTATAAACTTCTCTTTACTTTTTGGTGGGGCCAGTGAAAATTTTGGCAGGGCAAGTAAAAATGTGAACCATTGGCCCGATCGGACCAGTAGAAAAAAACCTTAGCGTTGAAGCCTGAAAATACTTGCAATTTATTGGAGTGGTTCTAAACATAAATGAATTGCTTTCTTCTGTGGAACACAAAACAAAATATTCAGCCATTGACACCAATAGTAGGAACAAATACTTTCTCTGAGTTCAACAGAAGAAACTTAAATATGTTTGGAATAAGTAGCTGATGAGTAAATGACTGCATTGTCATGTTTAGATGAACTATCATTTAAACATGTTTGTTTTTGTTATAATAGACGTTTATAGTAGCTTATCAGTGGCTCTAACATGATATTAGGTAATAAATGTTTACCTGACTTGCGCTTTCGCTCGGTTGAGCGTGATCTGGACCGTGAACAATGCTTCGAGCTCCTGGAGGCTTTACGATTTTCACCTGGCTGCGATTTTCCGGAGAAAGAGTCGTGTAACTCGGCGTCATTCGCCTAATAGAAAGCAAGCCACACAGCCAAAACATAACACTTAAAGCTTGTTGTTTTGTTAACATTTGATTATGAAATACAAATGAACAAAATAAATCAATTTATAAACATTCAGATGGGAGTGTTTGTCTGATTTGTCTTAGTTTACGTTAGCCGAAATGAGCTAACGTTGATCGACGCCCATTTGCATGAATGACAAAGGTGGAGAACAAATCCTTACAAAATTGTACTGTTTGACATCTCAAATACACTGTAATTATAAAAACAGTAGTTTGGCATTGTAGTTAACATCACTGATTTGAATCTAAAGATTTAGTTATTTACTGGGCAGCTCAGAATACGCTGTCCGCCATTTTCCAAATAGCGAATGCAGCAAATCAATTACTCTTGCGTTATTAACGTGCTTCTGTCGAATATGATTACAGCCAGATATAAAAGTCAAACTTGTGTACTCACCGCCATGTCAACAAATAAATAACAGCAGCTGTAAATTTGTGGTTAGTGGTCGCACTCGTAAAGCGTCTTCAATCATTCGCTTCTTTAGCGGTGGAACAAAAATACCCGGATGTGCTTCTCCTGCCGATGACTGGAAGAAAACAGCACAGCGCCGCTCTGGTGGCCGCACCCGTGCATTCTGCTAACTAAAAAAATTACCAACATCATTATAACATCAGTTTATTCATAAAATAATATATCAATATTATGCCATGGAGTGGGGTTTCCATTGCCATCCAGCTGCATCCAAGCCTTACAGGGAAATGCAAAGTGTGACAGCATTGCACTTGAATATCATTGAACATCATTGAACATCATTAAAAAATCATTGAAAATCTATAGATTGATTTGAAAAGGACAATTGATGCTCGTCACCCATGAAACCTGACTGAGTTGGTAACATTTACTTTCCCACCCCTAGCGGCACCTCTAATTATTATTATTATTTTTTTTATTAAAGAGGTCAATCCAATACAATTACATACATAGAGACAAATAATACAAATAAATAAGAAAATGCACAGAACTACACACAAAGACAAATAAACGCCAGGGTAACAAAAATAGGACTGATGAAATAAAGTTACATCTTAAAGAGACACAAAAGAAGAATATAAGGATACCGTTTTTGTTGCTTTTGGATGAAGAGAATGCTGGATAGTTTCCAAATATTGGTCTAGGTCGATTTTGAATAGATCAAAAAAAGGTTTAGAGCCACTAAACTTCTGTTTGTGAATATGAAACTTGGCTAATAGAATACATAAATTAACTACATATACTTTTCCCATGTTTTCTTTAGAGTCATCAAACAATCCAAAGAATATAACTTTAAAAGAAAAGGAAAAGTCACTCATAATATAAGATTGAATAAAGATCAACAAATCTGACCAGAATCTCTCTGTGAAGGAGCATTGCCAGAACAAATGAATAGAGTCTTCCTCCGAAGAGTGACAGAATGAGCAGTTTAAGTCAATTTCAGGATTATATTTCTGAAGACAGACCTTAGTAGGATAACATTTGTGAATTAATTTAAATGTTACTTCTTTTACTTTATTTGTAATAAGATACTTGTGAGGCAAAGTCCATACTTTCTCCCATGGAATATTTTCAGTGTTGTTCCAATAAGGTATTACATAAGGGATTTTTATGATCTCTCTCTGGAAGAGGCCTCTAATTTTACAGTTATTTTTTTGTTGGTCTGCTGAAAAACACACACTTCCAACCATTGTGTCGATTAAATTCAGGGAGTGAGTGTGTGGCCATGGTAGTGTAACACCTTGCATTAGAATAAACATGCCAGAAGGGATAGAGTTTACAACAATGGCATATTCACTAGGAGTAGCAGGAATGTTAAACTTCTGCAAGAAATCTGGATAGCGGCACCTCTAATATAACTAAACTATTTGAATTTGAATCAGTGAATCACTTACAGGAGACTCACTTTGGATGGATCATTTGAATCAGTGAGTTGTTGACACATGAACAGAGGTTCTCCAATTCACAATTTAATTGCTCAATGTAATTTTTGAACCAATTTAACAGGTTAAATGATCAAATGAAACACTAATATCGTCTTTGAGCAGGTCACAATATCTACAGATAACTTCAGGAAATGTAGCAGAGTAGAAAGTACAGTATTTTGTTGTGGAATGTAGTGAAACAAAAGTAAAAGTTTCCTAAAATACAACAATATTTTATTGAGACAAAGTACAGTATGGATATATACAATATGACATTAGTAGTGAAGAAACATAGTTTGCCGCCCACTGTAATATAATGGATGTAATGCCTAGTTAGATGTGTGTGTGTGTGTGTGCTGTAATCCCATGTCTTGACACTGGATGGAGTGTGTTTAATCAGTATATAGATGTTAGTGAATGTAAGAGAAGCCACAGTTTTGGACTGTATGGATAACATGTTAGGATATCTTCTGAGTGCAGCAGATGGACGCAATATGTGTGGATTACTTCCAGTTTTTTGCACATGGAAACAGTGAGTTCAGTGATTTGATCAACTTTTACAGCATTGCATTATAACATGTAACAAATAATGTTATAAATGCTATATGCAGGAATTAAATGTTTATTTGAAATGTTCAATCCTGTGCGTCACGACCAATCCTAAACCATCTCATACTGACAAACTGCAAATGAAGATTTCGTTCCCAAATTCATAACTGGGATTTTATGAATGCATAATATAAAAACATGATTTACGAACAATGAGGAGTTCTTTTGCACGAACAGATTGATTTATTATTAATGTTCATAAATCATGCTTTTATAATATGCAATGAAGAGTTCTTTTGCATAAACATACAGATTTCCTATTAGTTTTCGTAATATTGCTTGTATATTATGCAATAATAAGTAAATTTACAAAAACATGACTAATTTTTAGTACATTTTCATATATCATGTTTTCATTTTATGCAATGAAAAGTTCATTCTCAAAATCCATGACTCAGTTTTAATAAATTTTCATAAATCATGCTTTTATATTATACAATGAAGAGTTAATTCGCAAAAACATAACAAATTTTGATACATTTTCAGAAATTATGTATTTATAATATGCAATATAGAGTTCTTTTGCAGAAACAGAATGATTTCCTATTAATTTTTGTAAAAAATATGCTTTTATATTATGCAATGAGTTAATTCACAAAAACATGACTCGGTTTTAAATAAATTTTCATGAATAATGTTTTTATATTATGCAATAAAAAGTTAATTGGAAAAAACATGACTCATTTCTAACAAATTTTCATAAATAATGTTTTTATATAATGCAATGAAAAGTTCATTCTCAAAAACCTGATTCCCATTTTAATAAATTTAATAAATTATGCATTTATATTATGCAATATAGAGTTCTTTTGCATAAACAGACAGATTTCTAATTTATTTTCGTAAAAACAGCTTTTATATTATGGAATAAAAGTTAATTCGAAAAAACATGACTCTTTTTTATACATTTTCATAAATTATGCTTTTATATCATGAAATAATAAGGTATTTCACAAAAACAAATTGTTTTAATACAGTTTCTTACATTATGAATTTATACTATGCAATAAAGAGTTCTTATGCAAAAACAGATATGATTTTATTATTAATTTTCATAAATCATGCTTTTATATTATGTAATGAAGATTTATTCACAAAAACACAACTCACTTTTAATAAATTGACATGAATCATGCTTTATATTATGCAATGAAGAAGTCTTTTGCAAAAGCAGATATGCTTTTATTAATTTTTATAAATCATGTTTTTACTAATAAACTCTTCAGTAAACTCTAAAATAAACTCTAATGATTTATGAAAAGGCACAATAAAATTCCTCAAATACATCACATATTTACATATAACACAATTTGTGTCTCAGTGTTTCATTGAAAGTCAAATGAAACCAAAATTGCTTGATTATTAACGTTATTTAATATGATTATGTTCTCTAAAAACAGAAAGTCACATAGGTTTTCAACAGCATGAAATGATCAGATAATGATGACAAAATGTATATTATATGAACTGTTCTCTTTTTATTATTATTAATTTGGAAATGTTCAATTATTCTGTAGTAAATTATTACTCTACATCAGTGTTTCTCAACCACATTCCAGGAGGAACACCAGCACTGTATGTTTCGGATGTCTCCTTTGTGTGTCATGCCCTTTACAGGTCTTTCGGTCTGTGCTAATGAGCTGATGATCTGAATCTGGTGTGTTTGGTTACCGGAGACATGGAAAATGTGCAGAGCTGGTGGTCCTTCAGGAACGTGGTTGAGAAACACTGCTGTAAATAAATAAAACTGACAGTTTACACTGATGTGTTGTTTAATTGTCAGTTTCCCATTTAAATATAACAACAATAATAAAGTTTACTCAAAATTAAAATTAAAATAAATTTTAAAAACTCTTCGTCATTTACTTATCCTCATTTGGATTTAAACTTGTGTTTAAGTCTTTTTAAAGTAATGTATATATGGTGCGCTCTCAGAAATAAACGTTCGAGTATTGTCACTGGGGTGGTTCCTATTCAAAACGTGCACATTTGTATCTACAGGGTTCTTATTAATACCTAGAGGGTATATATTAGTACATATATATTAGTATATACAGTTGAAGTCAGAATTATTAGCGCCCCTGAATTATTAGCGCCCCTGTTTATTTTTTTCCCCAATTTCTGTTTAATGGAGGGATGATTGTTTCAGCACATTTCTAAGCATAATAGTTTTAAAAACCTATTTCTAATAACTGATTTATTTTATCTTATCTTAACTTTATTTATTTTATAGGCAAGTTATTCTATAACGATGGTTTGTTCTGTAGACGATAAAGGGGCTGATAATTTTGTCCCAAAAATAGTTTTTAAAAAATTCAAAGCTGCTTTTATTCTAACCAAAATAAAACAAATAAGACTTTTTCTAGAAGAGAAAACATTATCAGACATACTGTGAACATTTCCTTGCTCTGTCAAACATCATTTGGGAAATATTTAAAAAAAGACAAAAAAATCAAAAGGGGGCTAATAATTCTGACTTCAACTGTACATGCCGGCAGCTAGCTCTGTGCAACTCTCACATGGTCGCCCACTGAAGCTAAGGAGGGCTGTGCCCGGTCAGTACCTGGATGGGAGACCACAAGAGAAAGCTAGGTTGCTGCTGGAAGTACTGCTGGAAGTGGTGTCAGTGAAGCCAGCAGGGGGCGCCCAACCTGTGTGGGTCCTAATGCCCCAGTATAGTGAAGAGGACTCTGTACTGCTCAGTGAGCGCTGTCTTTCGGATAAGATGTTAAACCTAGGGCCCGACTCTCTGTGGTCGTTAAAAATACCAGGATGTCCTTCGAAAAAGAGTAGGGGTTTGACCCCGGCATTCTGGCCAAATCTGCCCACTGGCCTCTGTCCATCATGGCCTCCTAACCCTCCCCATATCATAATTGGCATCATCACTCCTCTCCACCAATCAGCTGGTGTGTGGATGAGGAGATTGTGTAAAGCGATTTGAGTGCCCAGAAAAGCACTATATAAATGTAAGGAATTATTATTATTATTATTATTATTATTGTAAAAAGTACA